AAATCCACTGCAGGACTCCAATGTCAATATTTATTCTTTAAAGGTCATACATATATTTATCGAATTAATACAATACATGGAAATATATAAGCCTAGAGAGATATTTTCACTATATTCCAGCTCCAGTAAAGGTAAAGCTCCAGGGTGGCAAACAGGCCCACAGGAGAGGAAGAAAGGAAGCAGGGATAATAACAGTTGAGAGGGAGGGAGGAGGGAATCTCAGGAGGTACAAAACCTCATATGGATGGAGAATAAGAAGAAAGGGAATAGAAAGGGTAGATGGGTGGAGTCCAACAATAGAGAAGAAAGGAAGGAGAGTTGGAATGTAGAAGCAGAACAGCAGGAAATAATAATTAGTCTGTTCTCTATTCCCTAAGCTACATGTTCAATTAGAGTGAAGTCCTGCTGGAGAGACTAGAAGAAAAACACTTATGTTACAGATACTGTTGAACCAGCTTATACTCAAAGACCCCAGGGTTCCTTTGATTGGAAAAAATGCAACATAAATCAACCTAAAGCTTTCATAAAAAGGAGCTGAAAATGTTTTTAATGCTAAATCCAACATTTGCAGAAAAAGACTACACATGAAAACTGTATTTCTTGCACTCATTGTTGCCCTTTTAGTAGAAAAACAAGCCTTAAAGGCACCGATGCCACCACAAACAAAGAATGTGCATGTGCTCCCTGCTGACAGATTCTGCTGGTTTAGTAATAATTTTGTGTAAAGGTCACAAATTACTGTTGCTAAACTACAGACAGTGGCTATCCTTTAGTTTTGTAATCCAGATAAAGCTACGCAGCAACATTAAAGGGTTGCAAAACCATTGCAGCTTGTACACTTTACCACCCCTCTGGCTTTGTCAGGCGGTCCCACTGCTACAGCCATTCAGCTGGTGTTGGAGGAATCTGTCCAGTCTGTAGTTGCACACGTGCAGTCCGTCTGTCTTCCTCTCGACAAACACACATACCACAGTGACTAACATATGACAGCAGGCTTCCAGAAATAAATCTGAGCAGCTCTTAACAGCTGCATATGAGGGACAGATACAGTCTACTGTAGACTGTCAAATATACAGGCACTACTTTGCTGTAAAAGGTGTCTGACAGGGCTTTTGTTGACCAGTGCACCGACGCTGGCAAACAGCAAAAGTGGACAGTGCAGTGGGCCTAAAGAGCACAACAGTCTATAAATACAACCCGTCTAGATATCTAAGATGTTTCCCATGTATCATCATAGCTTTGGAGTTAACAGAATAAGAGCTTCTCTGGCACTGCTTTGATTGTACACACACCAAGGACGCAATAATTACTTCCTATTGTGCCTTTTATCTTAATAAACTGCCACTTAGAACCACAACAGACATTGGTGTAATTGCTAATGAAAAGGGTAGCACTTAATTATTCAATTAAACACTTAGTGTACATGTTAAACAACCATAATATGCGCTATATTTCTACAACATACTGACTCCCTAGCGAAGGTTATACTGCATGCTTTTGATCTAGCATGTTCAGTCAGTGCGTGCATTGGTGCAGCTTTTATAGTTACAGAACAAACTTGTGGAAGCAGTGCATCCACGCCCTCTCTATTTAAAAACAGGAGAGCCTGTGAAATGGATGCAGATATTACCAGATACATACTGTACCACTGCCAATAACGCATAGCCTCTAATACACTCTCCCTCGTCTAGCTCAACTTTCAGCAGAGTGAAATTTAACCCATCATAAAAATAACCCGAAATATCCAGATGTGACCATATGCACACTTTCCTCTTGGTACAGTACAGCTTTGTAGCAAAACAGAAAAAAAGAGGGAGTTCCCTTAGTCAGCAGTGCTGAGCTAGTGGCTGACCACATGAACCTTAATCTTAGAGCAGGTTTGTGAAGGGTGTGTAGGCTGGAAAGGCTGTGTCTGCATCTATGTAAAAAAAATATATATATATAGCAAAAAAAAAGACACAACAATGACAGGTAACATTATGAAACTATCTGAAACACCCAGATATGTGTCTATATCTGAGTGTTTTAGGAAACTGTATGAACTGAGATACACACGTGGCGTTCAAATACTATGCAAACAGTGACCCTGACATTTCAGTCTTGTGGGCACGACTTTAAATTAATGAATATTTACACTGCTTTTGTATCTCCCTCCATGCACAGTGTTCAGGAGTGCACATGAGCGTGCACGTACACAGACACTGGACAGTTTGACAGCCAGTAATTATCCCTGGGCGTGTGCTGAGGATAAATGGACAGTTATTTGTAATCCCATACTACATTTATCTGTAAGATCTGTCTTTTTAAACTGAATACACAAACAAACAAAAACAAGCGTACCACAAACAACAGATGCACTTTAAATAAAAGAGTGAAGCAGATGGCAGCAACAACCAGGATGATGATGGTGGTGAGATTTTTTTGTTTGTTTTTTTGTTTTTTTGCACCTCATAAGAAAAAAATGAAATGGAAATTACTTTATTTATCCCAGAAGGGAAATTCAATAAAAAAAATTTTTTTAAAACTAGCTGCCTGTCTGGCAATAATTGGCAACAAGTGTGAGGGCGTCGTGGATGATTATTACTGGGAACTAAACCATGTGACCCAAGTAAACTCACAAGGTTCTGACGGCACACATGATTGTGTCTTCAGAACAACAGACTAAAAAAATCTATTAAACCAACTGCTCAATAAAACACTTTGAAGACTGGGGAAAACACTAGTGAGGAATGTTGTGGATTTAGAATTCAGTTAAGTGGTTCCTCTCCTTAATTCATCCTTTGCTGCTTCCTTATTGCTTCTGTGGGAGTGGATAGTAAAACTAAGTCCATGTAAGGAAACCACATTAATCAGAAGCTTCTGGGCTAAAACTCCCAGAGCAGGCAACCACTAGCAGACCCACATAAACACACCAGGTCCAGACATGCAGAGGAAAACACCAGCGTGCTAATTAAGACTTTTGTAAATGCTGCAGACTTTAAGAGAGAAGACTAGAACTTCTCCAGTCTTAATGCAATTAACAGTGTTCCAACTCATACAAAAGAGAGAATCAGGAGGTTACACCGGCCAAACCATGCTCAATTGATAGATTCTAAAGAAAGGCTCAGGGAAATTATGTGAGTTCAGGATACAAGTTGCTAAATTTTGGTCTCGGAGATCTCGGAAAATCCTGATCTCAGTGCACTACGGGAAATAATGTTGTCCCTGGGAACAGTTGCCTTTTGCTTAATTACAGGTTTTTAAAGCTCAGAACTGGGGCTTCATTCAGGCTACCTTTCCACCACTTCTAAAAGACTAACTCAGCCTTTCTAAGCACTGACACCCATTCACACCCACACCTGTGCACCCACTGCTCAGATTTCAATAGCCAGGTATTTCACTTCCCTGAAAAGACCAGTCTTCTTCTTCCTCCTTCCTTCCCAGTTTGTCTTCCGAGTGTGTTAATGTTGTTTTACGAGCTGTGTTTCATTAGAACTGCGCTATGTAGTAAAGTAGCTACTCCCGGTGTGATGACGAAAGAGAGATCCCAACACAAAAGGAGTTGTCATGGTAATTTATATGGAGAGAAATGTCACACACTGACCCGATAAAAAGGCATTCTGGTTCCACTGCCAGACTCTGTGACCGTTCTACTTTGTAATTTGGCCAAAAGGCTCTTGAGTGTCTGAAATCACTGTAATTAAGAGTATCTGGTTAAAGGGACCTTTACTTTAAAGATCAGAAGAGGAAAAGACCAAAGCTGCACTCATCTGCACAGAATCAAACCCTCCTTTTACAGACACTGAAGAACACACAAGTATTACTGCAGATCTGTGGTTTTGCTGTTACCGCACACCTACGAGACAAGTTCATATATGATAAATAAAAGGGATGAGTCTTCTAATTTTAGTGCTGAGCTCAGAATTATTAAAGTCAGTAACACTGGCTCTCCAGCTACTCCCATAATTAGCACCCAAGTGCCAAATAATGATGCTGAGGTTGGGCCACACCTGCCCAGAGATACTCCAAAAGACATCACACATTCATTTTCAGTTAAGTCTAAATGATTCAGACAATGAGCTCAACTTTGCTAATATTTTTTTTTCGCAAATTATGAAAGAATGAAGCAGCTGACAGTTACAGTTCGGCCTTTTATCTCCCGCTTCTCTGTGTGGGAGGGAAACAAAAAGTAAATTGGACTCTTACTTGCAAATCAACTGAAAAAGTACATTTTCAACAGTGGCATATTTTGGCATCTATATTTACAGTCAGCGATGATAACTAAGTGTTTGGTGAAGCGAGCAGGTGATGTTTACTCATACAGAAGCCCTTGCAGGATATAATAAAGAGGTGATGGAAAAAAAAGAGACAACCCTACTGTGCTACGTTGCTCCATTATCGAGAGAACATTTAATCAGATATAATAGCAAATACGTAGCTTCCTTGTACTGAAGTGTCCTAGACAACACTTGAAAGAGGCTTAGCAGTGGTGGCAGCATTTCATTCAGATTATGTGGTGATGACAGGACCAAACTCCAGCTTCCAGACACAACAAAACAGCAGCATTAAAAAAGGACAGTGTGGACAGCACAGTTTGTAGCTGATGTTGTCCCCCCACCAGGTCTCATGTCTATTCTGACTGAGTGCTGCTGGAACACTCTCTCTGTTGTCAGGACTCACTATAGGCTGCACAGGCTTTTCAATGGAGGCAACTAACCCAAATCACTCAGTTTCTTTGTAAACCAGGTGTTAAAAATAAATAAAATAAAATAAGGGGGAATAGAAATGACAACCACAAAGCTAGAGTTTATCAGAATTATAAAATCGGAAAATATCGCGAGAAAATAGGGAACAAGCTCAACAATGTGGATATGAAGCTAGAAATAACAGGGATATTGTTATATTTGAGGGGCAAAACCTGAGCAAAAATTAATGTAATTGCTGAGAAAGCCCATAAACCGTCAAAAACAAGCAAGTACACTTTTTATTTTTCCTCCTATAAGTTGTTTTCAGAGACTTACCCTAAAGGCGGTTTCGAGGACTCGGTCATTGCAGTGATTCCGATATTCAGCGCAGATAAGCGGGGCTCCCGAAAAATCCGCTGTTTCTCCTAAACTCGCCAGATATCCATCATTCTATCACCTGCGATTCAGCACAGCAACATGAAATCAATGTGTGTTTCCGAACACACGTGTACCGTTCACCTGGGCAGATTACATTAAGGGAAAAAAAAAAAAACACATCACAGAATGTGGCTCAACAAGTGACAGTGCGCAAAGATGACAGTCCACTGTGACCTGGAGCAAAGCGGCCGCAAAGTGTCCGTAAAGGCGAACTGCGACACAAGAGACGATAAATTGAATGTTATGTTCCTTTAAGTCAAACTTACTTCAACAGAAACAGTCTTTCTGACTCATTCTCGTGGACTGAGTTACTTGTCAATTCCACTTGAAGTAATCTTCGTATCCCCCCCTGGGGCTGACTTTCCCTGGAAGCGTTGTCAAGTCAACGAGATTTGTCGACAAAATGTCTGGTAACGTTTTTCAAAATAAGAGCTCCTACGCAACACTTCTATTGGGCCCAATGATGGACGTAGCAACCGGCCCTGAAAAAGGAAGCCAACCTGGAAGTGTCAAAAACCTTTAATACCACTACGTCCGCTAGGTGCTGGCATAGATATGTATAATAAAAGCCTTTATTATACATATCAAATATGTGTGCTGGCTCTAGAAACGCTGTGGCTCCCATAGACCCCAGTTCTAAACAGAAAAACACAGATCAGGAAAGACAGTTTTTCTACAGCTCAGGATTTTTTTTTTAGTTTTCATGAACAAAACCCCAGAGATCAGGTGGCCAATCTGTAAATATTTCAATGTTGAATTTTATATAAATGGTCAAAGTCTCAGCCATGTGAAGGAGAATGAAAGGACGTCATCGTCAGTGAACCACTTCCACTTCAGCTTTCACTTACAGAAGGACAGAGCAGCTGTTTCAGCAGTTTGTTATTCTCTGTTCTTAGTATTCACAGGTTCATTTATCGCCTTTAACTTAATTTCTGCTGTTGTTGCATGATTACAATACGGAGAACACGTTGCTGTCATTTATAGCAGATATAGCAGCACTGAAACATCAACACATTCAGGACAAGAGGAACTGATGAGGAGGACATCGGTGCTGCGCTTCCTCACGGGGATGAAGAAGGAGAGAAGACTCTTCACCTCAGACAACCTCAGCTGAGTGCTGATGTTCTCTGTAGCTCATAGATCACATCAGATGTAGATGTTCCCAGTGATCCACATCATGGCTGGGAAGAAAAGATACAAACCATGAGAAGAAGATCTATAAGGTTCTTTCATTCCAACTGCTGGAACATTAAATATGAGAGTGAACACAGCAGGACAGGACTGTAGCACAACAGAAAGTTTCATGTTTTTGACATTTTTTAATCTTAAGGAAATAATTGTTTGCCTGGGTGAGGCCAAAGAACATTATACTCCCTAGAAGAACAATAAAGTTTACTGTTTTTATTTCAAAGTATGATAATGTGAGTAACAGAGAAAAGGGAAAAAACAGCCCTGTGATTACATGAGCTCCTCTGTTATCTGACAAAACACTGCTGTAGAGAAAACAGTCTGCTGGACTGATTTACATTAAATAACAGAAAGTAACTGTGACTCACCTCTGAGGTTCACTGTGATGCTCATGTCCTGTCATCTCAGTAACTTTACTGTTTCTGAAAGCGAAGAAATCATTTTGAACAGGTGTTTGTTTCAGTGCTGTTAAAAACCAGAGAACACAGACATGAACTGGACTGAGCTTCATTCATTGAACTGCTGAACATCAATCAGTGACAGTGTTCTGTGGTGTAACGTTAGCTTGCTTTAGTTTTTACCTCCTGATCATTGCTGTCTGCAATGAGACAACAGCAGTTAACAGACTGAAATAACGTTATCAATCTGTTATGATTGATCAGCTGTAATCTACAGGAGTCTAGTCACAGACAACAGGTAACGAATTTATGACACTGACGAATTAGCGTCAGAAAACACAGTAGAAGCCGGTAAATATGGGTGGGCAGAGAGTCTAGTGTCAGTCAGTCTGACCAATCGCTGCTCTCCGCTCTCTCACAATCTTTTTCCCTCTCTGGCTCCAAAAATCCAAGATGTCAACCAGGAAGTAGCAAAACCCTGGCTTCATTTCTTATTTTTCTGTTTTTTATATAACTTTATTTATAAAGTGTAAAACAGTACAAAATACATGTTGTCCTTACAAAATAGTTATTGTTGAACAAATTTGATATGAATTTGGACAAAGAAACAAATATCAGACAACCCTGGCTTCATTTTCTCGGTGCAGAAACTAACGGGTGACATCACGCTAGCTTCCTCCATCTTTCTTATACAAAAGAGACAGTTTAGTTTGTTATTGAATAAAAAAATATTCAATAACAATAAATAAATAAATAAAATATGTCCCTGAAAAACAAAATGTTGCAATTAAAATATTTCTAATCAAACAACTTTAATTGGCATTGAAAAAAACAAATGGCTTTGAAAAAAAATCGACTCAAGTCAGTGCTTTGAGTTAGAGTTTCATTTTTGTTGAAAACACTGGGGAAAATACTGTCATCGTTTCAAAAGAAGAAGAAAAAAAAAACACTGAAAAAACATACTTTTTTCTTACCTGAAAATTATCATGGAAAATCACAAAAAAAATGTAAAAACTAAAAATACATTTTTTTTACTATGTGTTTTATTTTTCAATAACCATTTATTAAATTACATTTACATATTTTCCTTTTTTTTTTTTTTTTGAAAAAACTTTTTCAATGACAAACTTTATTTTCTCAAAAACCTATTTTATTTTATCTGGCAAACTTTACAGTGTGTGTTTTGGCTTTATAGATTTCTGATTTACCTCTTAGTAATCTTTGGAAGGCAAACATGTCTTTTTGCGATATGATCCACAAAGAACTCATTTACACTTTGCATTTCTGTACTTTCATACGTTTTGCATGTGACGTCCTGACTGTCTTTTCTGTATAACGCCAGTAGAAACTGGCTTTATTTAGAAGGGGATGCTGCAGGGTATCGTGTATTGTTGCAGCTGCGGGTGTCTGACTTGACGCAGCCGACTAAAGCCCGCCTTCTTCAACAGATCTCACGTCAATCATCCTGACCGGGAGTTCATGAGGGCCAGATGGAGAGCGACGGCACGACAATACAAGCAGCGCAACAATAGAGATGAATACACACAAAAAGAGCATAGTGGCAGAATAAATATGTCTTATTATTATTATTATTATTATTATTATTATTATTATTATTATTATTATTATTTTGTTGTTGTTGATGTTGTTGTTTTTGTTTTTGCTGTTGTATGTTAGGTTTACAGAGACAACAGAACGTCTGAGCTTCTATGCATAATGCCTCATAAATATTCTATCACGAGAATTCAAAATTTTTCTCCCGGCATGCTTTGTGCTATCTTGCCCATGCAAAGACAAGATCTGTTTTTTCACCACAAGAGGTCCCCACAGACCACAAGACGCTACTTTACATCAAGACTGTATAGTCTATGGTTAGGTATTAGATAATAGGAGAAATGAGCGGCACACAAAATAAACCGAAAAAAGACTCCCCCCCCTCTCCCAAGGAAATGAAGATGATAAACTTGAAATAGATGTCTTTATAACAACAGATAAAATGATAATATGACAGAAATATGAAACCAAAAATAAGACACAGTGTAACAACACTTCCAAAATGCCTTTTAAAATGGCAGCTTTTTGGGGATAATGTTTGCTTTTTTTTTTTTTTTTTGTTCATTTGTTTGTTTGGTGTAATGCACATAACTAACAAAAAATTGAAATCTTTACTGAACTAATCTTATACACGTCTTATGTATAGCTACAACCTGTGATGTGAGTGTTACATTGAAACCACATACACTTTAATCAAATACAGTTAAACCAAAATTGACCAAAACATGCCATCCCTGAAATATTTTAGGAATTATAACCTGTGTAAATCTAACTCATCATTAGTTTGATGAAATGGATTTGCCTAAATTTATCTTTTTGGGGGTTTTTTTCCCCCCCCTCATTTTATAAAAAATAAAAACATGATCTCTATATGCAGTTCTAATCAGTTGAACTCTGGGTAAATGTAGTTAAAACAACACGTTTGACCTTCAAACTAATTTAGCAATCACTCTTTTGTAGGTGTGAAATATTATTTTGACTGTCATGAACCGCTCCTGATAAAGATCTCACAGGGGACGTGCAGGAAACAACATCTGCACTTCTGTTTCTGTGCTTATTATTGGGGGACTGCTTACTTTGTGACAGTTCATCTCAACATCTCACATCCATACAGATCCAGACAGAGAAACAGAAACACAGAGCTTTGAAGTGGACATTCTGACTTCACCTGATTGGAAAAGGCATCACTGAGACATCACCATGTCAGGTAAATACATTGTATTATATATATATATGTATGTATGTATATATGTGTGTGTGTGTATATATATATACACACATATATATGTGTATATATAAATATATATAAACAATTCTAGCGTAGAGACATCTCAAGGCTCTACAAACGTCTTGTTTTTATCTTGCACAGTTACTTTATAGTTGTTCTTCGCACTGAATGGGCTTGCACCCAGTGTTCATTGTGCTGTTTTTTGGGTATAATGACGTTAAAGGATTCTGATTCTAATAATTACACAAACTGTGAAAACATATTTTATGTATATGTATTATATTTGTGTTATGATGTGTGATGTTTAAGGTTTAACACATAGTCAGTGTTGAAATTCAAATGCTGTAATTTGGCATACTTATTCATTATCTTTGGATTACGCTCTTGAGCTCATTATGTCGTACCATATTTGAACATATGTTTCAAAACAGATCAAAATACTTGAATTATCCTGTCTTAAAAATTGTCCATTATTCGTCGCCATCAAACATCTGTTAAGTTAGATTATATCTACCTACTTTTTGAAGCTGATATTTATCAGATTTAGCAGGTGTATGGTGGTACATGGTTGAGTGGTTAGGTGACATGAAACCAAAAAATGGGCATGCAGCCAGACATGACCAATTTTGAAACAAGTGTTCATGTTCAGTGGTGATAAGTTCAAAACCCTTATCATAAAGCATTGACATCCTTGTAGAATGAAGGTAAAATCAATGATTGTTATCCAAGACAGTCAAATTCAGTGAATAGCTCCCCACAGTCCTCTGTCTGCCCGGTCCCAGTTTTGTAAATGGGAAGCAAACAAGGTCACTGGTACCAATCTGCACAGCACTATTCCACCGCGTTCTGTGCACTAATAAATGCAATAAATCTGCTACATGTTAACTATTTAAACATGCTCTCTAGGTAAGTGTTGTTAGTCTTACATAGACTCCATCTTTAAATGTGAAGAGTAAATAGTCCATGTGTGTGAGCAGATTACCTCTTATAACCAGCAGGTGGCATAGTAACCACAATCAACCATTTTCACCCAAGTGTTGTAGGAATAATGAATGCTGAGAGTTTTGCTTATATTTGCACATAGATTTGGTTCACTTCAGTTTTAATCTGCTTCAATTTCTGCCTTTACACTTATATAGTGAAGCTGAACAGAATATTCTCTGTGAATCTTACAGCACAGAAAGGTGACTTTGAAAAGCTGAAACATGTCTTTTTAGAAACAGCAATGTTATTTTAGTTGAAACTTTATTTTTTATTACTGTTTTTCTGTCCCTATAAAAATGCTGACTGTTTTCTTGTAAATTGTTGAATATACTGTATCTTAATGCAAAGGTGTTAAAAAAAAAGGAGTATTGAAAGAAATTTCTCTGTCCGCAGATGACCTAAATATCACCCCCACGACGTATGATTATTCATCCTACTATGATGACAATTCAAGCGTCTCTCCTTGCGACTTGACTGGTATGCAGGACTTCAGCATGGTGTATCTGGCCAGTCTGTACAGTTTGGTTTTCATCCTGGGCTTCATAGGTAGGTGTGTGTGTGTGTGTGTGTGTGTGTGTGTGCGCATGTGCTGTGTAAACTGTAGGGATGTGCAACTATTGACACAGTTTTATTGCATTCATTGCAGGGACTGGAACAGAAAGAAAGTCCCAATCTTGATAATAATACAATAGGATGAAGATGTTTTGTTAGAAAGTGAGAGAAAGAGGGGGAGGGAGAGAGAGACAGAGAGTCCTTCCTTTCACTTCTTTACATGTAGTACTACAATCTGACAGACAGCCCTGCTAACGTTTTTTTTTTCTCTCTCTCTGTCTCTCTGGAGGTAACGGCCTTGTGGTGTGTGTCCTGGTGAAGCACCGCAACCAGACCAACTTGACAGACCTCTGCCTCTTCAACCTGGCTCTCTCTGACCTCCTCTTCGTCTTCATGCTGCCTTTCTACGCTCACCAGGCTGTGGTCAAAGAGTGGGTCTTTGGAGACTTTATGTGCCATTTCACCTCTGGCTCCCACACCTTCGGCTTCTTCAGCAGCATCTTCTTCATGGTTTTGATGACACTGGACCGCTACGTGGCCATCATGCACACTCACAAGGCGGCAAAATATCGCACGATGCGGGCAGGCCTGGCTCTGACCGTGTTTGTTTGGATTCTGAGCTTGTGTGTCTCTATGCCTGCGTTTATCTTCACAAAGGTAACAAATGAGTCTCACGGGTATGGATGTTTCTACCCCCCAGAAAACGAGGACTGGAAACATTATGAGCTGTTCACAACAAGTGTATTGGGTCTCGTGATTCCCTTGTTGGTGATGGTAGTTTGCTACTCCAGGATCATCCCCACGCTGGTGAACATGAAGACTACAAAGAGACACCGCATTGTCAAGCTGATCATCACCATCGTGATTGTCTTCTTCGTGTTCTGGGCCCCATTTTACATTTCCTGTTTCTTGAGCTTTCTGCAGTCTAAAGATGCAAGTAGTTGCACCTGGGACAAAAATCTAAGACTGGCAATAATAGTGACTGAGGCCTTCGCTTACACTCACTGCTGCCTGAACCCCATCATTTACGCCTTTGTGGGGCAGAAGTTCATGAAACGAGCCTTGCAGATGATGAGAAAGTGCATACCTCATCTAAGCAGAGATTTCCCAGAAAGCTCATTCAGGAGAAGCTCAATGGTATCTAAGTCCTCTGATATCACCTCAACCCTTGTCATGTAGACAAGTTGGGTGGGTGAAATATGTTTTATGAACATCGCCTGCAGAGCATTGTTCACTTTACAAGGATTTTCTGTTTGTCTTTCTTTCACCTATGGCACTTGTATTAATCAGTGTTTTTAGTAGCTGCCTTATGTACATGGCCGTTCATTATTTAAAAAAAATAAATCAAGATAGACCTAATAGCACCATCATCTACACCGTCCATAAATGGTATTCACCCTCCTTGGAAGTTTTTCGCTTGAAATGTTTTTTGTGTTGAATGATGATCAGTATAATTTGACTATATGAAAAAATAACTGGCAAAAAAAAAAAAGACAATTGTGTTTAAGCCAAAACAGATTTCTACAAAGTAATGTTAATTCATTCAAAATATAAAACTTAAAATAAGCAATGGCATATGTAGATGCACCTTTGGCTGCAGTTACAGCATTGAGCCTGTGTGCAAACTCTCAATGAACCTGAACATCTGGACGCTCCAATTTTACCCCATTCTTCTGCAAAACTGTCAAGTTGCATGAGGATCGTGAGTGAACAGTCTTTTTCAAGTGTAGCTACAAATTCTCAGTTGGATTGAGGTCTGGGCTTAAGAACATTCACCTTGTGGTCTGTAAACCATTTCCGTATAGCTTTTTCTGTTTGCTTCCTATCATTATCTTGCTGGGAAAAAAATCTTCTCCCAAGTTACAGTTCTCTTGCAGACTGCATCAGATCGTCCTCCAGGATTTCTCTTTACTCTGCTGCAGTGATTTTACCCACTACTTTTGCGAGCCCTCCAGGATCTGCTGTCGAGAAGAATCCCCACGTCATAACGATGCCACCACCATGCTTCACACAATGACGCTGCCACCACCACGCTTCATGGTGGGGGTGGTGTGTTTGTGACACTGTGCAGTGTTTGGTGTTTGGTGCCAAACCTTGCGTCTACTTTGATGGACAAAAAGCAAAATTGTGATCTCTTCACACCAAAGAATCTTATTCAGTTGACTTCAGGGTCCTCCACATGCCTTCTTACTTTTTATAGGCATTTTCTAAACTCGATGCATTGCCCCTCCCTGTCCTGGTGACGCTGGCAGGAAACTAAACCGTGTTTCTGACTGAGTCTGTAACCACAAACTTTGTTGCCTGTGCCTATAACTTTAAACCTTCCTGTTTTTAATGTTTTTCTTCTTCACACATTTTTCTGAGCATGCGACATGAAGGGAAATATATGTTATCTAAAACAACATGGAATGTATTGGTTTTCACTTTCATGTGGAAAAAATGTCTTCATTCAAATGACAACTGAAGGCAACAACAGCGGAACTAGATTAATTTAGCACATTTTGTACATTCATACGTCATTGTTTATCATGAATTTTAAGCTTTTGGTGTTGAAAAAACTTGCCAGCATTGTTTTATGCCTCACCTTTGTACACACACACACACACACACACACACACACACACACACACACACACACACACACACACACACACATACATATATATAAAGCGAGAGAGAGAGTATGTTAATGTTTATGTTTGCTGCCTATTTTAATTTTCATTACATTCTTCTATTGTTTTTTTATCTTCAGTTAATTTTACTGCTGTTTTAGGTGTGATTTGCTCAACGTCCATACAATGTCTTACATTTATTCACATATGTCTGCCTAATACTTCATTGCTAAGTTGCTGATGTTCTAGGTTATACTCATTTTTTGTTCATGTTGTTTGTTTGTTGTATCATGTAACAATGGTTTGTATCAGTACTTTGTCACCAAAACTTATGAAAGTTTTCTATCCTCTCATCTTTTATTCTCCAATATAAGGATTTGTGTAATAGTTTGTTTGTTTATTGTTTGTTTTTTTTAACAATAAATCTTGCACTTACCAGAAATCATTGTCATATACTGGGTTTTTCAACTTCTTTGTCATGTTGGAGAGCATAGTTGTTCGTGTTGTGAGGAGTGGTTTGCAGCTGGCACTCTATTTTGTTGTTTGTGTCACTGTAATGACAGTTACAAATGACAAAGTTGCTTCTTTACCTTAAATTAAACATGTTAGTTCCTGTAACACTTAGCTAAGAAGGTTTAAAGAAAGAGATACAGTAAAGTAGGAAGGTGTCTTTTTATATAGTCACAGATCAAATTATTTGATGCACAGTTATTTATTAGAGATGTATTATCACCAAAATAAATCCAGGTTGACTAATATTTGAACTACCATGCACAATACATTTCTTTAAATATGAGCGTACTCAAGTATGTAGTCAAAGCAAGCAAGTTAAGCTCTGGAAGTGAGTATGAAAAAGATAAAAGAAACAGAGAAAAGCTCCTCATTAGAATACATTTTCCCCGTTTTTTTCTCGTCTGACGTTAACGCACAAAGGGACATTTCTCAGAAAACCGCACTGACACTTCTCTGCACATTTAACACAATGCGGAGGAAACAACAAAACCCAGAGCTCACCTTACCAGAAATGAGTTCTGCAGCAGGATTTGACACAAAAGGCAAGCAATGCGCATCGACAGGATGACATCCAGGCTTGATGAGCAACACAAGAACATACAAGTGTAGGAGCAGTGACTTTGGCAGAGAATGTGGTAAGCACAGCATTTCAATTCTGAAATATTTACCTAACTTACTTTATCTCATTCATCTGCTACATCAGCAAACACTGTGTGTAGCTGAGACTTAACTGTACAAGTGTGCCTGTGTGTGTGTGTGTGTGTGTGTGTGTGTGTGTAAACTATGTCAGCCACAGGAAATAAGGGTCGGCACGGGTGTCGGAGCTAGTGGTTCTGTGTAAGTTGAGAGTGAAAGAACAAATGTTAGAGTTGTGGTTTAAGAGATGACATGTATTTGATTATGGTCAGAATAGGAGGAAGTCTGCGATATGCATAGACATGTCAGCAATTAATCTAGATCAAGGATGATGATGGTTGAAAATATTGCGTTTACCTTTACCTTTTTACCTTTGCTTTTACCATCCACCAAAATGACAAATATTGTGGTGTATTTGTTTTTCATTTATGTTATTTTATTTTTATTTAATTACATTTTAGGTTTGACAAAACAGCAGTTGATATTCAAAGTGTTTTGTTACTGAGGCCTTTCTGATGTGACTCATAAAATGTTTCTGAAAAGTTCAACTTAAAGGGCAGGAAAGTCCAGTAATATGTCTGCATTCATGACAGTTTCAAATGATAATCATAATACATTTTATTTGTATAGCACTTTTCAAGATACTCAAAGTCACTTTACAGGGCACAGGATATAAACAGAAACAAACAAGCTGAATAAAAAGAAGATTTTTTTTTTTTTTTTTTTTAAAAAGCAGGTATAGAAAGCAGGTATAAAAAATTGAATAGGTGAGTTTTTGAGAGGGATTTGAATGTGTGGACGCCAAAGTAGTGTCAGAGGGGAGATGGAAGGGAGTTTCAGAGGGTGGGAGCAGCAGCAGAAAAGGCTCAAGTCTGTGAGGTAGAGGGGGACCAGATGATGGAGGGCTTTGCGGTTGAGGAGGAGGATCTCAGATGTACGTCGCTTTGGATAAAAGCATCTGCCAAATGAAATTGTAGAATTGTAGAGTCTTGAATGTTATGTGTTGACGTTTTCTTTTGAGTTTTTTTTTTTTTAATCTCTAAAGAATATTCAGTGTGAAACATAGATCTGTATAATAAAGGACTTTATTGTAAATATCTATGATGTGAAACACATGCCGTTCAGTCATCATGGTGATGAGCAGGAATATGTCTCAAAAAAAGAGGAGAAGCATCTATTTTTGTATCTTAAAGATTTATGACAGTTTATTTTTACAAACCCTTCAGAGATTTTTATTTTTTCAGTTTTTTTCTATATATATATAAGAAAATAGAATCAAAAGTCTGAAGAGTGCCTTGCAAAGTAAGTAGATGTAAAAATTTGAATGTCTCAATAATTCAGTCACGTTACAATGAGAACAGATTTAAGTTCATCTTATGTAACGAACTGAATAAGGACAACAAATAGTTTGTGAACAAATGTGTGCTTTATATATATTGAGATGGTCATGTCCCTCTGCTGAACCCTCTGTTGGTTCTTTATGATGTCTGTTAAATGCCGAAATAAGTGGAGCGATAAACTAGACTAAGTTGTCTATGCATGTTGAAAGAAATTGTCACCACAGTTTTAAGGAGAGGGGCAAATTCGCAGATGTGGAAATTTGGAAGATCAGTGTTATTTCTGGGTTGTAAATATTGAAAATTTGATGTTTACTGGTTGGGGCGCTGGTAGGAGTGTGATTCTGCTTCTTTGCATCAAGGACCACAAAAGAAACAGGTTTTGGACTTCAGAGTGTCATTTCTTTTTATTTATTTGTCATTTATTTATTTCTTATTTCTTCTTTTGCTTAAATTTTGCACCACTGTTGCAGTGCAGTATTGAGTAAATGTTCTGTTTTGTCCCACACAGCAGCATGAACATGTCAGACAACGAGTCATCGTACAGCTATGAGTATGAATCCGGCTGCAATGAAGACAACACCACAGATTTCCCCAACAGACAGACAGTCATGCTGGTTCTTTACTATGTGCTGTTTTGTCTCGGTCTACTAGGTATGTTCACAAAGGCCTGAATTTTTGAAAGAATATATTATTTCATTATAGTATTTTATTTGTATTTACACAAGTACAAATACCACAATACCACCGCATTTATCGTCCATCCATTGACGGGCTTTTAAAACATATAACTCATATGTGTTTCAACTGAATTTGAGTTTGACTCAAGTTACCTTACCAAGGGCATAGATTTTGTGCCTATATAAATAACATTGGATTGAATTGAATTAATATTTTGAATTGATTTCACAGGCAACAGTACAGTTCTCTGGGTTCTCCTGCGGTACATAAAGCTGAAAACGATGACAGATGTCTGCCTCCTGAACCTGGCCCTGTCTGACCTTTTACTTACTGTATCCCTGCCACTCTGGGCCTACAGTTCCCAGAGCCTTGTTTCATGCAAGGTGATGACAGGAGTCTATCAGGTGGGGCTTTTACATTTTTTGCAAAAATGATTATTGTTGTTTTCACTATTTAAAACACAAATTCTGACAAATTGTTTATATTCTGACATTTAAGACAGAGTAGAACAGATAACTTGTCATTTAGAAAGAAGAACTCTATAGATATTTTTTATCAGATGTTTCCTATGGTGACAGCAACTGACCTCATGTGACGAGTGGAACAGCTGACGTGTAATGTCGGCTCAGTGAAAACTTTCACTGAAGCTGGTGAAGTCAAACCTCATGTCATGTCACATCCTGTTCTTACCCAGCTACCTCCTCTGCTCCTCTGAACAGTTAGGTTTCTACAGTGGGACTTTGTTTGTGACCCTAATGAGTGTGGACCGCTACCTGGCCATCGTCCACGCTGTGGCAGCTGTTCGAGCCAGAACATTTCGCTATGGAATCACAGCCAGCATCACTATCTGGGTCATATCTGTCATCATGGCAGTCCCTCAGGTGATATTTGCCACCTTGGAGACAGATACAGATGGCTCCCAGTGCCAGCCAATCTACCCAGAAGACAGCAAGAACTTTTGGAAGTTGCGGCGAAACTTCAGTGAGAACACAGTGGGCCTTTTTGTGTGCCTTCCAATCATGGTTTTTTGCTATGTGAAAATCCTTATTGTGCTCTCAAAGTGCAGGAACTCCAAGAAGAACAGAGCTGTGAAGCTGATTTTCACCATCGTGTGTCTGTTTGTGGTGTGTTGGGTTCCCTACAATGTCACAGTTTTCCTTCAGACACTGGAGCAGCTTCAAATCCTGAACAACTGTAATGTTTCAACAGCCATCAGCTCTGCCTTAAACTTTGCTGAGATCATTGCGCTGTCCCACTGCTGTGTAAATCCAGTGGTGTATGCATTAATAGGAGAGAAGTTTAGGAAGTCATTGGGGAGTGTGCTGTCTAAATACGTGTCCTGGAGTTACCTGACCAGAAACACTTTGAGTCAGGGAGACACCACCGAAAAAGAGACTTCTCACACACCTGTTAGATCAGATTATTAGAACGGTGTCATCTGCATAGTTGTGGTGCCCACCTATGTGTTTGCAAATTGTGTGTGTGTGTGTGTGTGTGTGTGTGTGTGTGTGTTTAGGAGCTTTCTACACACCGGTTAGATCACATGATTAGACAGGTTAGAATATTACAAAGGTGTCACCCACACAGTGGGATCAGTGCATATGTGTTTGGAGGGCTGTATTTTTTTTTAAACTCAGAAACTACACAGAGGACAAATTGTGTGCGCATGTGTCTGTGT